TCAAACAAGAGGCGCTGTTTGGGCCTCTGCCAAGCTGCAAGCTGTGGGGTTAAGTGCCAGCAGCCACTGATGGTGCCTCGCAGCTGCTTCCAATCCTGCAGTCAGACCCACCTCGTGCCAACCAGCCGTGAAACTGTCGGGCGCCCCACATACTCAGCCACAGAAACCTCACATTGGCCCCCTGTGGGGAGGCTCATAAAACGCACTGAAGCTTCCTCTGCTTGGATGCTGCCAGCCATGGTGGACCAAATATTTACAGACTCGGCTGAAATGAGACCCAGCAGGGCAGGTTTCACAGGTGGCCCAGAAAAAGTCCCCTCACCCCCTGTCCTTGGGAAAACAGGGCACAGAGTGACAAGCAGCCCATTAGGCCAAGGCCCACACCCCCAGCAAGGCAAGATGGGAGAGCTGGGCTCAAGAGAGCTTATCTGTTTAGAGCCAAAGGCATTTCCTGTGTGTCAGGTTCTGTGCCAGGGACACAGCAGTGACCATGACTGAGACAGATCTGCTCTTTGGAGCCCAAGGGAGGGTTTCAAGCAGGAGGTGGAGTGAGCCTGGCTTCCTGAAGGAGGTGACTGGAAGGGCATTCCAGGAGAGGGAACAGAATGTGCAGGAGCCCCCAGGAAGGAAGAGGTGCAGCACCTTGGAGGAACTCAGCAAACAGGAATGTGGGTGACTTGGGGTCAGAGTGGTCTCCGAAGTCCTGGGCAGGTCAGGGATCAGGCCACCAGCCCACAGGCCATGGCATGTTTCAGCAGGGTTCAAGGGTGTCCATCACTGTCTCTCCCTGGGCCCTTCCTTGCTTGGGGGTCCAAATATTCACTGTCCCTGCCCCCCACCCCCCATGCAACCAGCACTTTCTGCCTCTGGGGAGCCAGCAGCCGCCAGCCCTGTGGAAGGTGAGCTCATGGCCAGGTTATCTGGACAAAGATAACAGCAGGGGAACCCCGTGCAGCCTGCAGGCATGGGGTCCCCTCCACAAGGACCAGAATATAGGAAGTAGGAGCAGGCAGGCTACAAAGCTGATGAAATTGGTCATCACTCTCCACCTGGACTGCGTCATGAATGGCAGGAAGTGCCAAGATGCCATGGGGGGACAGGGCACAGGGGATGTCGCTAATGGGGGGGGTAGCTTAGTTATAGACGAAGAGGTGGGGGGAAGGGTGGGAGAGAGAGGGAGACAGAGATGGAGAGATACAAAAGAAACAGAGCTGTAGAGAGACAGACACAGAAGGAAAAAGAGGCAGCAACGCACAGAGAAGAAAGACAGAGACTGAAACACAGAGAAATAGAGACACACAGACTCAGAGAGAGAGAAAGCTGACACCGATGGATACCCGGGGACCCACAGACCCGCAGAGATGTTGAGCCACGGGGGCTGCTATGCCCCCTGTGCCCACCGGGTGGCGCCAGAGAGCCACACGCTGCACCGCAGCCGTCCCTGCCTGGCGCTTCCTGCAGCCCGAGTCCCTTTCTCTCTGCCTGCGGTTGCTCTATTGCTCCACTGCCGCCTTAGCGGGAGGCCCTGGACCCCAGAGTGGAGACGGAGGTGGAGGTTGGAATAGGGGCTTCCGCAGGGATCGAGGGTGTCCACAGCCCCCATAACCTGGACACCCCCCGCCAAGGCTCTGTGCGTGTCTCCTGTGCGTATCTGTGTTTGTCTTGGAGTGTGTTTGCATTGGTCTTGTGTGTGTGTGTGTGTGTGTGTGTGTGTGTGTGTGTGTGTCTTGGGGTGTGTATCTAGACGGTCTCTGTGTGTGTCTTGTTTTGTCTCAAGGTGTGTGTGGTGTTTGTGTGTGTGGGGGGGTTCTGTGGGCGTCTCTGTGTGTCTGGTATCTCCATGCCCCCAGAAACCTGACACTCTCTTCTCTCACCTTCCCTGGCAGCTCTGCACGGAGTCACCCAAGAAATTTGAGAACCAAAACATTTATGGAGACTTACTGGTGCCCAGAGTCTCTACTGGGATGCTAGAGGAAGTGCTCCCTGGAGCGACAAGGATGGGTGTTCATGGAGCTGACTGAGCAAAATTTAGGTTCTGCTAAACCCAAGCACCTACTTTGTGCTACTTTCATGCTGTGGACTCAGTTTCCTCATCTGTGAAACGAGCCTGAAATTAATACCAGCCTCATAGCATTGCTGTGAAGTGATTAAGTGAGTTGAGGAGATATCAGACACACAGAGATGCCCACAGCCCCTCACACACACACAAACACCACACACACCTTGAGACAAAACAAGACACACACAGAGACCAGCTAGATACACACCCCAAGACACACACACACACACACACACACACACACGACCAATGCAAACACTGCCTGGCACACAGCCTAAGGACTTAGTAAGTATCAGAAATCATCTCTTTTGATCCTTTTAACTACAAACACATCCATTAACCCATTGGTCAGTGGGAGCCCCTGAGAACTCTCCACTCACCACTAGGGATCTGAGGGTTGTCTTAAGGACCCAAATAAGTGGATACTCAGATATCTGCCTCCACACAAACTTCCCTTTTGGTCTAGTCCACTGGTTCTCAAACTTCACTGTACAGAAAAATGAGAAGATTAGATCATGCTGGGTATATAAATCAAAGCCAGTTGCTGTCCCATACACCAGGGACTCAGCAGTGAACAAAACAGACAAGGATGCCTGCCTTAGCGGACTTTGTGTTCTAGTGGGAAAAACATAATAAATGAAGTTCATTTGTCACTCAACAATGGTGAGTCATGATAATTAGTTACTATCCATCAATTTGCTTTCGATAATTTTGCCATCTTACCTTCCAGAAAGATAGTACTAACTTACACAGTAACAGAGGTGAATGTCAATTGCCTTGTAGCCTCACAGAATCTAATATGATCAGATATCTTTTTTGACTATTATAGTGAGAATTCTAGAGTGGTTAGACACATTTTCATGTAAAAGTCTTCGTCTTTTTTTTTGTTTCACTTCTTTTTTTACAATGTCCCATCTATGTCTTTTGTGTGTTCAAAGTGGCATCCATGTTCTTTGCATGTCTCTTTTCTTATTTATTTCTCACAACTCTTTATATATAAAGGATGCCACTTTAAAAATGTTAGTGGTAAATAGCCTTTGTTTCTAATAGAGCTAAACTGGAATAACACAATTTATTAACAGGGACCACGAAGAATCCTCATTTGTCAGACATCCTAGCAGTGAATTCCTTATGAAAACCCAGTGGAGGGGGACAGATGGGTCCAAGAAATAGTAGCTAGGAAGAGAGCATTTTGACCTGAGACAAAGCCCTTCTCAGATCCTTAGCTGAGAAAATGTATCCATCTTCTGAACTGGATTCAGCACTGTCAGGAACAATTCTTTTTCTTTTTTTTTTTTTGGCTGCACAGAGCAGCATGTGGAACTTCCCTGACCAGGGATCGAACCTGTGTCCCCTGCACTGGAAGCACGGAGTCTTAACCACTGGACCACCAGGGAAGTCCTGTTAGGGACATTTCTAACATATGAATTAGATTATGCCACGCCCTTGCTTCAAACACTCCCATGGCTCCTCATTGCCTTTAGACGGAAATCCAATCTCCTCTCCACACCCTTCCCAAAGCCACCCCCAAGCACCACATTTTCCTTTTTGCACCACCTCCAGATAGAGAGGCACCCTGAGCCTTTCCATTAACTCACTCCTGCCATGTTCCAGGAGCTCTACCTTCAGGTGTGGCTTTGGGAAAGTGATTTCCCTCTCCAAGACTCAGTGTTGTCATCTGAGAAATGGGATAACAAGCACAGACCTCATAGGATTGGTGGCAGGGACCCCATGGGATAACTATTTGTAAAGCTTGATGGGACGTCCATTCGCTTTTTCCACAGCCTTTTCAGCTTCTCCCTGGGAGGTGGGGGACCTTGGCAAACAGATGCTCCTGGGACTCACTTTCTTGATCTTAAAAGGAGGATATAAAGTTAGTACCATCACTGTCTAGGGAGAGCAAACTCACTCAAGGAGTGAGTTGGACCTAGGGTTATAGGGAATTCACATCCCTATAATCCCTGGAGGGTCCACAGATGCCACTTGGATTGGGGGCCCAATGGAGCATCTTTTAAAAAAATTTTTTTTTATTGATGTATAGTTGATTTACAATGTTGTGTTAATTTCTGCTGTACAGCAAAGTGACTCACTTATATGCATATATACATTCTTCTTTATATTCTTTTCCATTGTGGTTTATCTCAGGATATTGAACATAGTTCCCTGTGCTATACAGTAGGACCTTGTTGTTTATCCATTCTATATAGAATAGTTTGCATCTGCTAACCCCAAACTCCTAATCCATCCCTCCCCCATCCCCCCACCCCCTTGCCAACCACAAGTCTGTTCTCTATGTCTGTGAGTCAGTTTCTGTTTCGTAGACAGGTTGATCTGTGGCATGTTTTAGATTCCACATACAAGTGATGTCATATGGTATTTGTCTTTCTCTGTCTGACTTACTTCACTTAGTATGATAATTTCTAGATGCATCCATGTTGCTGCAAATGGCATTATTTCATTCTTTTTTTTTTTTAATGGCTGAGTAGTATTGCACTGTATCCAATGGAGCTCCTTATATGGAAAAAATCATTCACAAGTTCTTCTTGTAAACATTATGTGGGCCTCCAGCCCCAGAAAAACAAAAACACATTCAGCCTCTGGGCTTCCAGTTTGAGAGACCTCTGATCCAAGGGGACAAGTCTAGGTAAGAAGCCTGTGTCACAAGAGGCTATCTGTGATTCGAGAATTGGGCAATGCCAAATTCAGTGGGTATGTCACAGATAGGGGCAAGTTAGCACAGCGCCGACCCTCCCTTCCTATCTGCCTGCAGTACTGGTGGAATGCAGGCCCCCATCCACACATATGCCTTCTGCCTCTGACGATCCATGCATTCTCTTCCCTGCAAGACAGCCAGAAGTGATGTGTTGAATGCCATTCAGGACGCCTGCTCTAGGATTCTTTTTTTTTTTTTGGCCATGCTGCATGGCTTGGGGGATCTTAGTTCCCTGATCAGGGATCGAACCTGGGCCCCGACAGTAAAGGTGCTGAGTCCTAACCACTGGACCACCAGGGAATTCCCTCTAGGATTCTAAAATGTTCGGGAGGAGGGGAGACTGTTTTGAGGATCTAGAATGCCGGGCACGCCAAGATTCTGGGAGTCCATGATTTTGGAGATCCCATGATTCTGAGCCTCCCAGGTCCCAGAACTCAGGGATTCACCGAGCTTGTCACTGCCCGCTTGGGTCTTCCATAATCGCCCGTGACAGATAATACAGTGTCTCGAGGCAGAAACCATGATCCCTCTAATCCAGCGGCCTAGGCAGAGGGCCTACTGCCCGGAGCCACCTGGCTTTTCCTAACGGCTTAATGAGAAAGTCAGAATTAATTGGAACTGGCACCCAGCACTCACAGAGCTCAGCGCGGCTAGCTTGGCCTCCATATGTTAAAGCCGAGTGTCTCTGGGTCTTGCTCTGACCTGTTCTAAACACCAGCAGGTGTGTTGCCTGAAACCTGGAGCTTAGCCTGACAAGGGAGGTGGCTGGGACCGTGGTGACCCAGTGCCACAGGTAGAGCCAGCCGGCCCACTCTCCCTGACACAGTGTACACCAGCCTGGGCCCTCATTCTGTCCCTCGTCTGGGCCTCAGTTTCCCTCCTCTGTTCAGTGAGATCAGCCTCAGGTTTCCTTGTGGATTACATGTAAATTGCTCAGCGTGTGTGTTGTACTGTAATCCATCCTTGGGCACCTGGGTAGAGTCCCAGAAGGGATATAGCGACTTCTCATTTCAATAGCTATTATCAGAGAGATTATGCCATTTCACACTCCAAACCCCAATGCATAATATTGCTCTTTTCCCCAAACCCCAGCAACATGGTGAATTATCAAACTTTTTCATCCTTAGCAACGTGGTAGATTTTTTAAAAGTATTTCATGGTAGTTTTATTTTATATTGACCTTACCATGCGTGAGAATGAACTCCCTTTCATATGCTTGGAAGACATTTGTATTTCCTTTTCAGAAACTGTTCATGTCCTTTGCCTCTTTTTCTATTGAATTGTTGGCCCTTATTGATACCTGGAAGATTTTTACATATTAAGGAAATCAGTCTTTTGTCTATCATGTCTCGGAAAAGTTTTCCTTTGTTGATTGACCTTCTAGTATTTGTGTGTGTTTGTGTGTGTGTAGGAATTTTACATTTGTATGTGGTCAGTTATTAATCTTTTTTAAAATATTTATTTATTTATTTGTTTGTTTTTGGCTGCGTTGGGTCTTCGTTGCTGTGCGCAGGCTTTCTCTGCTTGCGGCGAGCGAGGGCTACTCTTCATTGCGGTGCACAGGCTTCTCATTGTGGTGGCTTCTCTTGTTCCGGAGCACGGGCTCTAGACGCACGGGCTTCAGTAGTTGTGGCACACGGGCTCAGTAGTTGTGGCGCATGGGCTTTGTTGCTCCACGGCATGTGGGATCTTCCTGGACCAGGGCTCAAACCTGTGTCCTCTGCATTGGCAGGCGGATTCTTAACCACTGCGCCACCAGGGATGTCCTGTGGTCAGTTATTAATCTTTTTTAAAAAATTTATTTTATTTATTTATTTATTTTTGGCTGTGTTGGGTCTTTGTTGCTGCGCGTGGGCTTTCTCTAGTTGTGGTGAGCGGGGGCTACTCTTTGTTGTGGTGTGTGGGCTTCTCATTGCCATGGCTTCTCTTGTTGCAGAGCACGGGCTCTAGGCGCACGGGCTTCAGTAGTTGTGGCTCGCAAGCTCTAGAGCTCAGGCTTAGTAGTTGTGGCACATGGGCTTAGTTGCTCCACGGCATGTGGGATCTTCCCGGACCAGGGCTCGAACCCGTGTCCTCTGCATTGGCAGGCGGATTCTTAACCACTGCGCCACCAGGGAAGTCCTGTGGTCAGTTATTAATCTTTTAAATCATTAAAGGTGTCATGTCATGCTTCAACACACTGGGATTATTATTATTTTTAACTTGCACATTTTCTTCTAGTAGTTTAATAGTTTCTCTCTCTCTCTCTTTTTTTTTTTTTTGTTTGGTTGGTGGGTGATCCATCTGAAATTAATTTTGCTCTTAGCTACCTTTAAAATCTCCATCTGAAATCTGATGGTTGTCTAAGAAGCTGTGTAGTAAGTGGACAATAGCATGATGACTGAAACCAGGTGGCTAGGCTTCAAATCCTGGCTCTGCCATTTTTCACTGTGTATCCTCAGGGAAGTCACTCTCTCTGAGCCTCACGTTACTCATCTGTAAAATGGGAGATAATAGTGTCATGTGAGAATTAAAGGAAGCTTTTATTATTATTTTTTTAAATCATGTACCTAGAAGGCCATCTGGCACTTAGCCCATGTTTTTTTTTTTCCTGCTTGCTATTTTTGTTTTTATTTGCTTTTCAATTGCACTTGACTCTCAGCATAGCCAATTAGCCAGCAACTATGCTTCAGGAACATTTCTAAGTGCTTATGTGCAGTAATTTACTCTCATAACAACCCCATTGGACAGATGGTAATATCGAGGCCCAGGGAGGTTAAGTTCCTTCCTGAGGAACTTCCAAGGGTCAGGGTTGGCATTAGAGCCCTTGATTTGCCCACTGCCCTGTTCTGGCCTCAGCCTCCCTCCCCCACTCTTGGCCACTCCTGGAGGAGGAGTTCCCACTGGGCTCCATCGTAACTAGCTTCTAAGTACAGACTAAATCTCTGAGGTCAAGTCAACATTCTGGATACCCAGAACTGGTCAGTCCTGTCCTGGTAGGTATGGCTGTGGAGAGGGGCAGGCAGCAGTCAAGGAAGGCTTTCAGGAAGAGGGTCCTTAGATAAGTAAGACTGGAGAGGCTGGCGGGGCCTGAGAAAGGGGTTGCAAGGGGGAGGGGAGGACAGCATGGAAGCCTCCCCTGACTGTCACTGACCACAAGCCTTGACTCTTGCTTCTCCCCACTAGGCACACAGTGAACTATATAGTTGGTGATCATGGGCAGGTACCTCCTTGGTGGGAGTGTTGAACTTCTACTCAACTGTCAAAGCCCCAGGGCTCCAATGCCTACTCATCTGGAAAGCCATCTCCCCACTACTGGCCTTTCCCAGCCTGGGGTCTCTCCTACTACTCAAACCCTGACCACATAGGACTGGGAGTGTCTGTGTCCAGCTCTGTGTCCTTCACCCTCAACTGGGTGACCGTTGAGGGCAGGGCCCTTCTGTGTCCTTCACCCTCAACTGGGATTTCTCTGGTGCCCAGCATCGCCCAGCCCAGCCCGGACACAGAATAAGTACTGGTTGAATAAGTCTTGAAGGAAATAAGGGAGTAAATGAGAGTCAAATATGTGAGTGACAAATACAAACCACAGACACTTCCTTCCAGGGCTCCCACCTCCCTTGGGATAAAAGCCCAGGTCCTCCCTGTGGCCCACAAGGTCCTACATGACCTGCCCCATCCCCTCCCTGACCCCCCCCTCCTCCCTGTCTCCCCCTCGCTCACTCTGCTCCAGCCACACAGGCCTCCTCGCTGTTCCTCCAACAGGCAGGCTCTGTCCTGCCCCAGGACCTTTGCACAGGCTGTTCCCATCTCAGCCTGCAGTAAGTACTCTTGATCATGACTCTTTGCGTGGTTGGCTCATTCCTCCTTCAGATCTCCATTCAAATGCCACCTCCACAGAGAGGCCTCCCTTGACCTTGATCCCTAAAATAGCCGGCCAGTCTCGAGCTCTCTTCCTCTTCTGGTCCCTCCCTGGCACTTCCCACGATCGGATGCACTGTGCATTTACATATTTATCTTTATGATGCGGCTCCTTTTCGTGCGTTTTGTCCCGGGTCACCCGGGGCGCCTCCATCCACCTGGCTCGCAGTAGGCACTTAATACAGGTCGACGGAAACTAAGGGGCGTCTGCGGGTGGGGGCTAGGGGCCCGCAGATCCACCCGCCGCGCCCCGCCCTCGTGGGGCCTCCAGTCTGCGAGCTGGGCGTGCCCGGGCAGGCTGGGCGCGGGCGCGGGCGCGGGCGCGGCGGGAGCGGGCGGCCGGGCCGGTTGGGCGGGTGCGGAGGGCGCACGGGGCCCGGGCCGGGTCCGCGGGCCCGGGCCGGGTCCGAGTGTCCGGCGGGGACCATGGAGGGGCTGCGGCGGGGCCTGTCGCGCTGGAAGCGCTACCACATCCAGGTGCACCTAGCGGACGAGGCGCTGCTGCTGCCGCTCACGGTGCGGCCGCGGGACACGCTCAGCGACCTGCGCGCCCAGCTCGTGGGCCAGGGCGTGAGCTCCTGGAAGCGCACCTTCTACTACAACGCACGGCGGCTGGACGACCACCAGACAGTGCGCGACGTGCGCCTGCAGGACGGCTCGGTGCTGCTGCTCGTCAGCGACCCCAGGTGGCCGGGGGAGGGGACTGGGGGGCGACCTGGGATCGGGGGCCCTGGCTGGGATCCCCGGTGAGGGGTGAGTCAGGGCTGGGGGGAGACGGCGGGGCACAGGAGGGCCTGGCTGGCGTCCCCGGTGGGGTGGGAGGGGGGTCAGGGTGGGGGGGGGCTGGGGGGGCACAGGAGGGCCTGGCTGGGGTCCTGGATGGGGAATGCGTGGGGGGAGACGGTGGGGCACAGGAGTGCCTGGCTGGCGTCCCCGGTGGATTGGGAAGTGGGTCAGGGACGGGGGGGAGGCCAGGAGGGCCTAGCTGGGGTCAGGGTGGAGTGCGTGGGATGGTTGCGGAAGGGCGGACTGGGGATCCTTCTCGTACTTGTGGACTCCTTGGAGAGCGCCCGGCACTGAGAAAGGCCAGGAACCTGGCTCGATTCCCCCTGCAGGCTTTCTTCTTTTCTCTCGCTCTGTCTGCCTCTCTCCAGCCTCACCGGTCCTTCTCACGATCTCTCTTTGTCTCCTGTCTCTCCCTCTCTCTGTGACACTGTCCCTGTTTATTTCCTTTCCTTCTTTCTGTCTCTGTCTCTCTATATCTCTCTGTCTCTCTGTGTCTCTGCCCATTTCTGTCTCTGCTGTTTTTCTCTCTGTGTGTGTCTCTCTTCCTTTTCTGTTCATCCATCTCCCCCACTACCTCTGCCTTCCCCACAATCCCATCCTGACCCTTGCTGTCCACA